CATTTGACAAATTTATTAATGAGACAGAGGCCATGAATCCTCAGGCAGAGTTGAACGGTGATCAAAGAAAGAAACGTGAAAAAGGAAAAAAAAAACAAAACAGAAAGGCAATTACTTGATGCTTTCTATGAAGGGCGGGGGGAGACTCCTTCATAACATCTATCCATAACTCTTTCCACTCCCACCATAAACTCTCCTCCGTACAGGTATGATAAAAACAAATTAAGTTTTCGTCTATATTTTATGTGTTTGCCGTTGCCTTTAACTTTTGTGTATTAGATTTAATGATTTCCATTGGTTCTGTTATAAATTTGTGCCGAAACCATTGTTGTTTGAATAATCAATCATCTGGGCTTTGCGAACGGATGAATTCATTTTACATTGATTCCTATGTGGAAAATAGTTTCGGTCTACGAATATTTCGGGTCAAGAAAGGCCTTCGGGAACGAAGTAAATTTTGTGAACCGCAGTTCCACTGTATTAGAAATCGAAGAATGCCTAGTTTCAAATTTTCGACAATGGTCGGCATCTTCCAGTATTTGTATATGGATTAAATTCTCTGAAACCTTTTCCATAAACATACAAATCTTAGAATAAAAGAAAAAGAAAACAAAAAAATACACAAAGAAATAATGTCTATTCTATTTCAATGAAGGACTCTCCTGTTTATAGCCAACATATTTCATGAGTGATGGAATCGATTTTTACATCAAATTTCCATTTCACATCTTGTCATCAAAGATTACTGTAAAAAGCAAAAGAAAAAAATATTCGAAGATCATAAAGATTAAACAACTATTGCTTTTTCTTTTTATCGCTCTTTTTTTTTTCGTTTTCTTTCTTTTTGGCTTGGTTTTATTTAGCAGACGACGCCACGGTAACGTTCAAGCAGACGATAATTTCCTCTTCACCTCACATCACAATTCACTTCGTATTCGCCTGAAATGATATCAATGGCCGTCCCCGACCTCCTTGCTGTCTTCAGTTGTGCTTCAGTGAACGTAAGTCAATATTATTTACAACATGCGGGATCTGAGATTTCGTTTGCTTCCCAATCTTTTTTTTTTGTTTTTGTTGCATCTTTTCTTTTTAACTTTAACTCGGAGAGTGTCTTCAAGATTTAAGAGCCAGCTTCACTCTCCGCTCATCTCTAAATTTCTTGCGTGACATCATCTGCTTACGACCTTCAAATCTCGGCAGCCATTAACGAAAAAGGCGCCATTGACCTTCGATTATTGTCCGTTGCTAAAATTGAGTCTATTGACAGCAATTATGATTATTTCCCTGACTTTCATATCTCAGAAGTCGCCTTTGTTTTGTTTTTTTTTTGTTTTCTTTTTAGAAAGAAATTATTAGCCAATGAAAGTTCGTCCCACGTCGGAATCATAGCAATCAGAAATCAGTCTAGTCGAATTCAGAATATTTCTTTAAAAATAGTGGCTTTTATTTACCGTATATACTCATGCATTAGTCTACTTCGTGTATAGTCCGACCCCTGAATGTTTTTTTTTTGTGAAAAATCTGATTTTTTCAAATAGATAGTGTATAATGTGAGTGAAACCTCTGAGCAATACTACTATGTCTACAGTTGACAAACATAGCAGTAATACGTATCGACCAGGAGATATTTTATAGAAAATAAATGATCATTCTTTTTTAACAAATCTTGTACAAAGTTTTCTCGATCCCTAAAATGTTAACACGTCCAAGTCTAGTGTTAATCATTATCTTCCACATATATCAACACAAACTGTGCCTCTTACTCTGTAATCTTCTACCTCGAGGGATCCTCAGGCCTTTTAAAAAATAAAGTAAAAAAAAAAAGAAGCTACCCCAAAATGGTGAGAAAAACAACTTACCGTAAATGAAACAAAGATTTAAATACCTTTATTTTGTGTTAGTTCATGGCTGACTACTGTAGCTTCGTTACTCGGGAATGACTCCTGCGTAGCTTAAGATTCTTTCATTTGTTTTTTTTTTTTGTTTTTTTTTTTTTGCTATATGAAGAGCAAGAAATCACCGAAAATGAGCGAATTTTAAACCCTTCAGAAAAGAATTACCCGTGTAGTGTGCAACGGGACATCGAAAATGCATGATTTTTAAAATCTTCAAAGTATTAGTAGTAATTATTAGTGCGACCACTGATATTTGCGTAAAAATTCTGATCATAAAAGCTCGCACTATATTCGAGAATATATGCAAATAAACACTTAACGAGATACAAACTTAGAGACGTTTCAATAGTGTACCTACCTGAAAGAAAAGATACATGATAAAATACGAATGTGTCACGCGAATATGACGTAGTGGTACATTTCAGCGCTAGATATTATATGTCAACATTATATTATGGCGGTCTCCCATTTTGCATATTTTTGGATAGGCTTCTTTATCCTATATGCCATAGCTGTGAAACCTTATAGATGGCAGAATATAAAAAAGAAACACACACGTATTCGCATATATATATATATATATATATATATATATATATATATATATATATATATATATATATATATATATATATATATAGTATGTATAAAATCGTAAACACTAAAGCTAGAATCTACCTACCAAGTTTTCACCTAACTGGATCTGCAGTGCAAACAGCCTATTTTCCCTGAAGATTAATTCAGGCGAGACCTAGGTAAGTAGTTTCTGGCCAAGTATAATTTTATATACTCTGCTCTACTCAGTGAACTGAGCATTTTACGTCTTTTCTTATATTACTCGATAGGTATTTTTTCTTTTATTTAGGCATTGCGATGTTGGGCGATTTTTTTCTACCAACACAGCTGTTTTTAGTCTTTTTTTGTTTGCCCTTAATACCAGTTCTTTAAATATATTTTTATTTGCAAATTGTACTATCCGAGTTTTTTTTTTTTTATATCAGTTGATTTTAGGTATTAGAATAAAATTATATATATATATATATATATATATATATATATATATATATATATATATATATATATATATATATGTGTGTTTGTGTGTGTGTATTCTTATCTATATTTTTGGTTGTCTATCTCCTTGTCTATATACATCTACAGTAGATATAGCTAAATGCTCTGGAATTTATAGGCATACACAAACACACCAATAGGTATAAACACATACGAAATCAGAATCATTAAACATTCGCAAAAATCACTACTATTCCACACTGAAGAAGCATGGGTAAAGAAAAGACATTTCAGACTACAATGGGAAGCTTTGACGGTGCAGAGACCTGCGAACTCATGGCTATATATTTATTATACTAAGTAAAATAATAGAAAGGTTACAGGACTTTATAAGGACGATAGTCTCATAATCTTAAGAATCTATAACAGACAAAAACAGACGAAACTAGAAAAGCAATAATAACGATTTTCAAAAATATGGGATTCGACATAGTCATAAAAACTAACGTAAATGAAGTAGATTTTCTAGATGTTGCCTTCAACCTAAGAAAATGTACATATCAACCCTACAAAAACCTAATGACACACACACCTTCCAATCACCCCCATCTATAATCAAGTAAATGCGAAAATAAAGTAACCACAGGCTTCCCGATAATTCTTCCAAAGAAAGCATAATTAACGAAGCAAAGAAAGACTATCAAACAGCCCGAAAAATTAGTGGGTTTCCGGCAAGACTCACATACGCACCACTAAGGTAAAAAAAAAACAAAAGTAAAAGAAATATCATATGGTTTCGTACGTAAAAAAACGTAAGAAAAATATTCATCAAAATCTTACAGAAATAGTTCTTTGAATCAAGCACTCTCCGCAAAATATTAAAACAAAACAATAAAAATCAGCTACAGTCGCATCGAGAAATGTAAATTTGTATATATTTTGTATATATGAATATGTATGTTTTTATTTGTGTATATAGGTATATGTGCGTATGTTTATGTGTTATATGTTTTATATTTTTATAAATATATGTATTATGTGTATGTATCTTGATGGGATGCACTCATATGTGCCTCTTTTAATTTATATGGTCAGGGGTGTGTTTCGAGATGTATTAAATATTATATGTATAATTATTATATTATAGTATGAATTTGTGAAAGTGTGTGTATATGTGTAACTCCGGTTTAGCTCTCTTGAGAAAAGGGCACTTTTAAAACAGTGGCTCATACTGATATTAATGCATTGCTCTTCAACTGAATTGAATTCAGCTCTCCGGGCCACTGCCGTATTTTGCATAAGAAACCTTTAAAATTTCTCTTCGTCTCTGTCGTGCTACAATAGCCTAGGGGTAGAATCTCTGGCTGATACCAAATAGGACGGATTTCGATCCCGGCTTGAAGTAAATGGACGTCTAGCCCCACAGAAGAGCTATGATATAGCGAAACATTCTGTGGATGACTATATATATATATATATATATATGTTTGAGTGTGTGTATGTTTTAGGTCATATATATATATTTTGTAACCTTTTGGGAGTCTTTAGAAATGTAGATCTCTATATGTATACAGATGAAGGCGTATATGATTTTTTCAGAATGTAATTTATATATGTACTGTATTTGCATGTGTATGTCTATACGCATATAGGTGTATATCTCTATTTATGTTTATATAGGAATATTTATGTAGGTGCATGTGTATCTTAGTAACTTTAATTTATTTTAGTTTTTTTTTCATTTAAAATGATCCTTTTTTATAAATATTACTATTTAAAAAAAATGATAAAAAATAATCCTTTTACATCTATCTATCTATCTATCTATCTATCTATCTATCTATCTATATATATATATATATATATATATATATATATATATATTTAAAATTATTATTTTATATTTGGAAAATTATTTGTTTTTTTTTAATTTTTATTAATCACCTCTTATTTTAAATTACTGGGGTATAAATAACTACTTCAAATGAAAATTGTCAAATATACAGAATTTTATAAACCAAAGATTACCTGTTCCAAATCATTTCTCACGTATTCTCTTTCTTTTTCTAGTTTTCTTCCTCTTTGCTTTAGCTTTCCTTTTCTATATTTCCTTTTCTTTATTTCTTCTGTTCCCCTTTGAAGATACTGTCTCTACTTCACTTTTCACATGCGGTGAAAAACTGGTCAACCTGTTTTCATCTTCTATATTACCCCCCCTCACCTATATCTCACCAGATAGAAATATCTCCGTCTCTTTCTCTTTTTTTTTTTTTTTTCTCTCCCCACTTTTTGAATGTATATTTTAAATCATAATTTATGTTTAAATATTTTGTTTTGAAGCCTGGTAAAATTTTAATTTTCATTTATTTTTGAAACAGTTTGGTCTGATAAAGCAAAACCGAAATATCGTTTTCGCGAAATAAAATATTACTATGGGTTTCTAAAGTCTTTCTTAAATAATTATCATTTGCACTGTTCTTACATTGAGCTCTCTCTGGATCTATATCCTTTTTGGAATTATCCAAATAATTTTATCATATATATATATATATATATATATATATATATATATATATATATAAAAAATTATTTCTGAAGAAAGATTGAGGTCAATCTGAAATATCAAATAAATATATACTTTCATGAAAAACATTATTTTTTTTAATTTGCAACTTTATATATATATATATATATATATATATATATATATATATATTTATATATATATATATATATATAGGCGTGCGGCATCTCTAGAAAGTGTCTGAAAACCATTCCACGGGTTTACACAAGTTTTAAATGAAATTGGGTAGACGGAACCCTTAGGGGCCATCGATAGCTGTGCTAGCACAAAGTCACAAGTCATCGTGACCGAGGGCTTGAGCGTGCTGGCCTTGTTTCAGTTGTTGATCACGCTAGATAAAACACTCTTTCTCAGAAACTGTAACTACCAGCTTAGTTGCAGTATAAACCACAGGTAGGCTCTGTGGGTGTTGAATAAACACAAATGCTCCTGAGCAAGCGTCTGCAATAGGGAGTGGCTATCCGCCCTAGTAGACTGATATGCTCGAATACGAGTGGCCAGCTATACATATATATTGTTTATATGTTATTTTTATTGATATGATTTAAGTAAATACTCTGTTTTTTTTTAATTAAACAGTAATACATAGGTTTATCGGCCTGAATATTTGATAAATTTCGTAGAAATTATGCACTTTCGATCAGGAATCGTATCTGTAACCCCAATGGGAACCGTTATATATATATATATATATATATATATATATATATATATATATATATATATATATAGGTTGGTGCAAAAATAATGACGCAATCATGTCGTTTTTAGACGTATTTTTAACGTCAAGAATTGATCTTATTACGTCATTATTTTTGCACCATCCTATTTTTTGCATATATATATATATATATATATATATATATATATATATGTACAGGGTTTATCAAAAATACTTTTACAAATTTTGGGGGCGGTTTCCTCACGCCAAAACAAGGACAAAAATCAGTTTAAACATATACAGTGTAACCCGGATGTAAGAGAGTTGTCGGGACCGGAGAAGAAGTCTCTTAAATCCGGGTTTCTCTTATATCCGGGTTTCTTATATCCGGGTTACACTGTATATACAGTGTAACTCGGATGTAAGAGAGTTGTCGGGACCGGAGAAGAAGTCTCTTAAATCCGGGTTTCTCTTATATCCGGGTTTGGTCTATACATTAACACAGGCTCTAATTTGGGACCAGAGAAAGTCTCTCTTATATCCGGGTTTCTCTTATATCCGGGTCTCTTATATCCGGGTTACACTGTATCTGTAAATCCTTGATTTTTTTATTTATCTTTCGTGTACATTTGCGGCTCGTCTTTCAATGGTCAACTTTTTCCATTTAACAATGGCAGGATATTTACATCGGGAGCAGGTGGATATGATTTTTACATACGGCAACATGGCTGTTTGAGATTCTGTTTCCAGGCCGAAGGCAGCCGAAAGCAACCGAAGGCAGCCGAATCATCCAACATTTGTTTCTTCTTATTGAGACACTATCCGTACCATGGCAAATTATGGTAATAAGTACTTTTGGATTGTATCCTGGATTTGTACAATCGAAGAAACAATCCAAAAGCAGCGTCTGCTATAAACCTTAAATTCAATAATTCAAAACTTTCCTTGTTTATTATGAGGAATACGTCCCCAAAGTTTGTAAGAGTATTTTTAATACACCATATATATTTTGATAGATAGATAAAGAAGAGTGTGTGTCTGTATGGCTTCTATATATTTAATCTCGGCTGTTTTTTGAATCAATCTTAGATATCGATTTAGCGGCTCTGTGGTCCTTTGAACAACGCCTTTCTTCCTTCTTTCCATTTGCCTGTAATTCGATTATCAGCTCAAAGAATTCGCCATGATTTTCATTCGTTCCTTTACACTGTAGAAAACGCCACAGAAATGAACCCAAGTGAAAAAATGAAGACAATAATATTCAAAAACTTTTTCATTCCTTTTTAATCAATCCACCCCAAGCAAGGCGAGAATGTCACTAACACGGAACGAGCTTCTGGGTGTGAAAGAGAACGAGAAGACTATATAAGGAAAGATGGGATAAACTTATACTCCTGTTCAAAAGACGATGGAAATGTGTGAACCGTCGATAAGCAAACCTGCCTAATCCTATCGAGGAAAAAAAAATTCAGAATTTAAGTGGGGAAGTCAGAAATATAGAATTGAAGCCGACTTTAAAAGGAATCGAAAAGCTAATCCTAAACAGGATCAAAGGGCTAAAACGCTACTCATGTTAAAAAAAAAAGGTGAGTGAACCGAACGATAGGCAAAGCTATCTACTGTTATTGAGAAAAAATAAGTCGTAAATTCAATTTCAGAGTATAGACGGAGACCTCAGAAGAAGTGTTGAAGTAAACTTTAGAACGAACAAAAAAAAAGCAAAAAAAAAAAACAAATTCTAAGCAAGAAACAATGGATAGAATTAGTCAAACGACTGGGGAGGTCGTGAGTTGGACAAACTTCTATAACTATTATTATCGTACTAGCAGCATGGCCCGGCGTTGCCCGTGCTTGATTCAAAAATCATACGACTCATACAGCAATCGCTATCACTTGACTTAAAATATTTTTGCCCTTCCTTGCCTTTAAAGGAGTGCCCTTTGCCGTGCTGATGTTGCTACATGCCTTACTTCTTGCCTATCTCACACTGCGAATTTTTTCTAAGCTCTATACTAAATATTAAATCTGTTACGAAAAAAGAAGTAAACAAAATGAACACAAAACGATCAGCTTAAAAAAAAGGACTCGTAACTGGAAAAACCGAATGAAAAAAGAATGTTAACAAGAAATACTTTTTCACACCCAATCCAGTTCTGCGGAATCAGAATCAACGTTGATTTTAAGCAAGTGAATGAGCCAATTGGAGTAAAGTGCCATGCAGATTTAAATTTTTCCCACTTGTGACGAATGCAGCTATCGATTTTTTTTGTATGCTAGTTAACATTCGTGTCAGTCAGCTGTTGGCTCTCATGCTGGCCAATCGAATCTTCCTGCCTATTCGTGGCAGCCAGCAGGAAATGGCCGCAAACTACATGAAAACTGCCGTAGAAGCATGAAAAAATCAATTATTTTCGCTATCGATGGGAGTTGGGAAAGTCGGTCTTGGCCTTCCCGCTAACTTGGAGCATGTGCATGTAGATTTTGGTGCAAATCCGTCACACACGCACGCACGCGCGCGCGCGCACACACACACACACACACACACATCCTGCCTTTTATAGATTTAACATGTTATATGTCAGATTGAATACTTTTCGGAAGGACTCGTATTTTTTATAATGCTTTTATTTTTACGCATTTATTTTTACAAAAAATCCTTTTAATCAATAACCTAATAAAGAATTCTCAATTAAATTTCCATATGTATTTGAATTACTAAAAATATTTTTTTAAATTTTAATTTAACTAATTTGGACGTGTTTTGTCTATTTTAGTTTTAATCCTTTCAAGTCCAGAGATTATTTTCTTGGCGGCTATAGGTGATTGATTAAGAAAAAATCCAAAATGTTCTTTCAAATAATATTTATTTTCAATCTTTACTTTCAATCTCACTTGAGACTATCTTCAGGGCTTGCATATCTTTTCAAATAATCTTTTAAAAATCACACACGTTATCTCTCGTGGACAGAGGTAAATTTACCTTTTTAAATATTTAAAAATTAATTAAATATACGGTGTTAACGGATAAAACATCCATAGATATGCAATGAAAATATGCTGCCTAAATGTATACACACATACACAATCACCCCCCACACACACACACATATATATATATATATATATATATATATATATATATATATATATATATATAATGAACATTAAAGTCAACACTCAAAGTCAACACACTGTTCCATGCTAATTTATATTTACATACGCTGTATATCTGATATTCATCACTTTATTCCATAAATATAGTATACCTTAAAACTATATTTCCTCCTATCTATCTATCTATCTATCTATCTATCTATCTATCTATCTATATATATATATATATATATATATATATATATATATATATATGAAGAAAATTTGGAAAAAAAAAAGCAAAATCATTAAATGCAATTATGTTGTTTAAAATGAAATTCATTTTAAACAACATAATTGCATTTAAGGATTTTTGTTTGTTTTTTCCAAATTTTTCTTCATTCTGTCGGATCTATATCCATTTACATTTGCTTACATATATATATATATATATATATTTATATATATATATATATTTCATGTTATGTAAAAAAATTGATTCATTGATTTCACGGTAGCATTCGACTCGATGGATCGCAGAAGCCTCTGGGACATCATGCGTCATGATGTCTTCCCGTCCAAGATTCTCAACCTCATCAAGGCCTACTAGGCTCACAATCGAACTAAAGTGAGGTGCTACGGGGAAGAATCCGATTCCTTCCTCGTCCGAATGGGCGTCCGCCAAGGATGTGTGCTCTCCCCCATCCTGTTCAACTACATTATTGACTGGATCCTGGAGAATAGCATGGTTGGCCTCGCGGGTGTCAGAGTTGGCCACGACTGCTCCATCACCGATGTCGATTATGCCGACGACGTTGCAATCCTTAGCAAGTCCTACGCGGGGGTCCAGCATGCACTCGACGTGGTCAATCGTATGGCGAAAATGGTGGGGATGAAAATTAACTCTTCCAAGAGGAAAATTCTCTCTGCGAACTACCCCCTACCTGATCGAGTGGTTGTAACCCTCGATGGTGAAGCTGTGGAAGAAGTCGAAAACTTCAAATATCTTGGCGCCAATTTTACAGACACTGGTCAAGCGTAGGACGAAATCACCACCCATATAAATTTGGCTAGAGCTACCTTTGTCCGTCTTTAAAAACGACTTTGGTCTCGCCAGGAGATAAGACGATCCACAAAGTTGCGAATCTACGAAGCCGTGGTCAGAACAATTCTTCTCTATGGTTGTGAGACCTGGCCACTGCGCAGAGAGGATCTTCATAAGCTTGAGGTCTTCGATCACTGATGCCTTTGCCGTATCCTGCGCGTGCGCCTCTCCGACCGGATCCCCAACTCGTCCATCCGCGCCACATGCAACATTCTGGGCCTGGAAGAAACTCTGCTTAACAGGAGACTCCGGTTGTTCGGACACGTACTGCGGCGGCCTGGTGATGAGTTCGTCCGTAAACTGGTTGGAGGAAGCGCGGAGGTGGTCAACTCAAGACGTGACTCGCAACGGCCAAAGCAGATATGGAACTCATTCCCGGTCCTCGCTGGAATCGCGTATGGCTCGATCATGCCGTCGATTCTGCTGCCGATCGACGGGGGTGGATGGCCTTGACGCGCGATGCGGTTAATTCAATTGAGCCAGCTCAACCCACCCGGAGTGAATGCCGTTACAAGACAAGAGACATGATATATATATATATATATATATATATATATATATATAGATTTTTTTTCTTTTCAACACCATCACTTGATAAGACACAGAGTGTGTTGAAACAAAATGGCTATTTTTGTAGTGATTTTATAACATACTTATGTTATAAATTTTTTATAAAATAATATATATATATATATATATATATATATATATATATATATATATATCATGAAATAGATTAAGTCTGATAATTATATAATATATTTTCTGTTTATACGTCACTTGATGTGACGTGCTATACGACTACAGAGAAACCGTCTGGTTACAAAAGTCCAAATATAACACGTCAGATCAATTAAAGGTTCCATATAGGACAGGTTCGATTCCAGTCGGAAGACGTTTATTTTCTACAAAGTTTTCTCGGACATTCAGGTCGTTAAGTGTAATTTATACTGTTAATTTAAAAAAAAATACAGAGCTTTTACTTAAATTAATTGTATCTATTTAAATAACGTATAAGCGGAAGTTATATTATACTCATATATGTCCTTGTTATTATATTGACGTAACTTAGAAGATGAGTATACAAATTTTGATTTAATTTCAATATATTTCACTGGCTGTCACTTGTACTTCCCCCACCTATCTCTGCTCATTGGGCTCAAACATTGCTTCTTCTTTTTCTTTCACCCACTCTTCTCGTCAATAATATATATTCCCAGGAAAAGTAATTTAAATAATAATGGAATTAATAGTTTTGTTTCAATTGATTTGCGGTATGTGTGCGTGTGTATATCTATATATATTTATTACTATAGCTACCCTATGTTAATATATAAATAAAAGCAGTTTTTTGTTGTTTGGGGGAGTTGAATTGTACAAGCCATTCCTTGCCCAAGTTAACCACTGAGTGAATGTCCTTTACGAGATCAGTTGCCAGTTTTACTTTGTCTGACCTCTGGGTCTTTCTACTAAAACAGGAGTAATAGTTATGTCGTCAACATTGATACCTAGTTAAGAAATGATGATATTTGGAAGTCGGTTTTTAAGATGAGAAACGGCACAATATTCTTTGTACAAACTCTAATTGCCGAGAGAAATATATGCAACGTGATTTTATCCTGATCTGGCATCTCGCCTACAGTTACTTTCTCACAGACGTGCTGTGGCTTCCCTCTGTCTTTTCTACAATTATTTTCAGGGCAACTCTGATAAGCTACTTTCATTTGTTCCGAACCTGCATGAATTTAAACTTGGAATCTCGACCCCACCGTTTCACTGTCGAAACGACTAAATGTAGCCATGTTTTCTACTCCGACAGCTTCTTAGCTCGACACTTCCCGTCAGTGGAACTCCGTTTCTTTCACTTGCTTCCCTGATAGCTATATTCTTCAAATATTCAAATGTAATGTCAATCGACATCGTCTGAAGCCTTGACCTTGATCCCCGTCCTTTTTCTTTATCCTTTCCTCAAACACTTCTATTTACTCTAACTTTCACTCTCTGTAACCTTTTACGTGCTAGTGGGACTTCCGTCTTGCTTGGGGAGAAATGCTTAACAAATAAAAAGAAAAAAAAAACAGGTATAAAAAATGTTTGCATTTTTTAAGTCTTTATTTCTGCTAATTAAAAAAAAAAAAAAAAAACGGTTCATGAAGAATTCGTAGAGAGAAAAAAAGCCGACCCATTCCTTTATGTACGTCTCCTTTATTTTTATTAGATTTGCTTTGCATCTGATATTTTGAGATATACTTAATTCTATTCATTAATTCTCTCCACTTGAGCAGACTTGAAACAACTGGTTTTAGCTGATCAGTGGGCTTATTTCTGTGGACATTCAGTGTGTTGAAATACGATAAAAAAAAACAGTTCAGGCATGATACTTTCACATTACGCAAGGCTGAAAATAATATAATGGCTTGCCTTTAGTATCCATAAAAATTCAGATCAACATTACACGCCGCATTAAAACTGTAACATTATAAGTCTCATAATAGTTCCCCAGCCGATGAGGATGTCGACCTTCAACGCCTGAAATTTTGAGTTGCAATATTCTACGGATTATCCAGAATCATGTTACAACCGATACATACTTTGGGCTTCCTCATTTGGTCTTCCACGTTACGTTAATCTCGGAGATGCGTCATTATTATTCGATGATATATTCGGAATCATTTTGCCATCCTCTGTTTTTATATCAACATCTCGGCCGATACATTCTTTGGTCTTATTCATTTGGTCTTCCACGTTACGTTAATCTCGGAGATGCGTTATTATTATTCTTTGGTCTTACTCATTGCGTTAAACTCCAAGATGGTTCATTATTCGGAAACTAAATCTTGACTGTTTTTGACGGTCGATACATTGTTGAACAATAAAGAGTGTGAGACTCACCTTTTCAAGGAGGTTTCCAACTCGCGTCCAGTTGACTGACAAAAATAAACAGGGTTGTAACTGAAGACATGTCCCTCTCTTGAATAGTCACAATATGCTGGATATTTATTGAGCACGATATCCACACCGGAATCATCAGCCAATCAAAACTTACAGAATAGGCTGGCCCGGGTAACTGAATGAAATTTCTCAGGCTGTTATATAAACCACCTACCAATTTGCCCAGCATATTACCTTGGTCAGTTAGACTTCTATTACAGTCGAGTACTGTCTGGTGCTATTACCAAATTCTACAATTCTTCGGTCGATACATTGTTAGTCCTCATTGTTCTATGTTTTATTCTAAATCATCTTGCTATCTTGAGCGTTTTTGCAACAAACGCTATAGGCAGTACGTTCTTTAGTTGTTATGGTCTAGATTAGGACCAAGGAAGAACAACACGAACACAAGAGAAGAAATAACGAAGGTATATTACAAGAAATAATAATACAAGATGTGGAAGGTGTTAGTATGACTGTCAGTCTGGTTTGGAGTGAACTACTATCGGCTCGACTCGATTTGGTATCTAGCCACCCCACCCACGAGGGTTGCATGTGGTACAAGGCCGAGTTTAAAGCGGGTTTCCCGATCCCGTAGGCTCGGCCAAAAAAAGCCCGTAGAACCCGTATAAACGGGATCGGGTTGGTCAACCTCCCCGAAGGAGGCTCTGCCCTTCGAGGGAGCCTCGTCCTGGTTCCTCTCTGCTCAGAGGCAGAGAGTTCGTCCGAGCTTCTCGGCTTGATTCGGTATCTAGCTAGCTCCCATGAGGGTTGCATGTGGCACAAGGACGAGTTTCACGTAGGTTTTCCGAGCCCGTAGGCTCGGCCAAAAAATGCCCGTAGAAACTGTAAAAACAGAATCGGCTTGGTCAACCTCCCCGAACGATGCTCTGCTCTTCGGCTGAGCCTCGTCCGGGTTCCTCTCTGCTCAGAGGCACAGAGTCCGACCGTCAAACCGAGAAGCTCGGCTTGATTCGACCCTAATTCCGAAATTATCAGGCATCGTCTCTTTTTTCCCCTGTTCTTTATGTTGCGGTCGATACATTCTTTGGCCTTACTTACCTCTGGAAATTTTGAGATAAGTCATCATCATTATTTTATTTGCACACACCGACTACAGTCTGATGATCAATCCTCTTTCGGTGTCACACACGTGCGGCTTTCTAACGTACTACACTAAATTTAGTAAATATCGATACTGGAGGCACCACCGTGGAGCAATGGTGAGCAAGGTAGTTGCTCATACCACTAATACTGTAGCTAATTCGAAAGCATTAAAGTTGAAAGATTATTCCAGAAAACGGTGAACAAATGATGGAGCGATGTAAATTTAGAAGAGAAGCAGACGAAATGGTAAATAAAATTTCAGAGTTTAAGTGGAGACGTCAGAAGTATAGAATTGAAGTCGACTTTAAAACGAATCGGAAACTCAATCTAAAAAAAAAAAAACGGAGAGGAGTAGAACCGGACAATAGGCGAAAATTTTACTCGTATAGAGGAAAAAAATTCAGAGAAATCTTATTTTGGAATGTTTCGCTGATCAAACAATGCTAATTGTAAAAATTGATTTTATTTCAAGCAAAGCTTCACCTGCCGCCCGGATCGCACTCCTTCCTATTTTTTTTTAACGAGTTGCGGTTTATTTCTTGTTTCTTGTTTAAGATTGAGGTTCCTGTTTCTACTAAAATCTACATCAACACTATACTTCTAATGTCTCCCCCTAAACTCTGAACGTTTGTATACAATTTATTTTTAATTTTTTTCCTCGATAAGAGTATACAGGTTTGAGTATCATTTTGTTTCCTCTCCTCCACGGTCTTTTGGACAGGAGTAGAGGTTTATCCCTTTATTCCTGTTTAGGATTGCATTTCTAGTTCCTTCAAAATTATTCTCATTCTCTTTCGATCCCAGTAGTCCCTTGCGTCTTAGAAGCATTATCGCCTTGCTTGGGGTGATGTGATTAAAAGTAAATTTACTAGAAATGAAGAGTGAGGAGAATGGGCAAA